AGACAAGTTAAACATTCTTTGGAACAAATCTATATACATTCTTATCTCAATAATCTTGATTATTTAAATAGTGTTTTTTATTAATCATTGAATCAAATAATCAAAGAATTAAAAAGAAATGGCGAATGCTTACGTTCAAAATTGGTCACTAAAAAAAAAGTAAAAACGCACAGAAATGCGTGACACATACCGACACCAGAAAAGTATGCATCCTGCTTAGCGACGTACCTGGCTTATACACGGTCATAGAATATTGATATGTAAATATAGCGGCACCGGTAGCGGCGGTGCAACGGCGGTTTATAGGGGCGCTAGCAGGTTAACGAGCGACTCGCAGAGTGCGCGACGGCGGGGTAAAGAGATAGATAGGAAAGTTAAGAGCGAGAGAGACTCTGAGAATGAAAGGAAAAGAGAGGTGGGTAGGGTCTCCCAAAGTCTGTAGGTAGGTTGATGGAGGTCGAGGGTGAGACAGATAGATGGATGGATGGATAGATAGATAGGTGGTGAGAGCGAGGAAAAAGAAAAGAAAGAGAAAACGACAGACAAAAGAGAAAAAGAAGAGAAAGATAGAAAACAGTGAGAGAGAAAAGGAGAAAGAGAGCTGTGGAACAAGAGAGGTAGGATACAGTAGAGAGAGAGAGAGAGAGAGAGAGAGAGAAGAGTGTAAGAGTGTGAGCACGAGAACAGCGGCAGGGGTAGAAAGCGGTAGCAGGAGACCAAAGTAGGGTGAGGCAGCATTGGGATGGGCGAGCGAAGAGTCGAGGGGTAGGGGAGTTGGGTCGCTGCCGGCAGTATAACAGAGACGGTCGGGCGTGCCGCGGAGCGTGCCACCAAAGGGGATGAGAATTTTCCACAGGTTGGAAAATTATTGTCGCAACTGATTCGAATTGAAATTTCGCGAAAAAATTAAATCGCACGTTAATGAGCACACGCATCTTACGTAAAGATTACTTTCCGTTTCGAAGAATGAATCAGAGAGAAAAATTTTTTTTTACGATTTGGGATAAATAATGGAATCACATGCATAAATGACAGTGCGGACAATAGCAAGTCGGTGGTGTATAGGGACATGCCCTGCGGGACACGGAACGGGGTGGTTGGAACGGGCCGCGGAAACACGGAGAGGGCGGGAACACGTCGGTCGAGCGAGGGTTGCCACGCTGCGAGCTGGAGAACGGGGATATAGGAGGGTGACTATGGTTTCGTGTGTATGCCTCTCTACGAATAGACTTTTATAACTGTGTGCGCGCTCGCCAGCGCGCGTGACTGAAACCGCCAGTGGTACTATCTACGAGGGCACGTAGAGTCGAAGGGTATCATCTATAGACGAACACCTGGAAGAGATGTATCCTGTCGCTTCACCGCGACGTGTAAAATCTCTCTATCTTTCTCTTTGCCTCCACCGATCTTCCCACGTCTGCATTTTTCCTTCTCGATTCAACAATCGTGTTCACTCGTTGCATTCTTTTCAAAGATTTAACTAAGTACATACTTTTATTACATTCTCTCTTTCTTCCCCTGCCCCCTCTCTTGCTTCGTTTATCAATTCATTGATAATCGTTTATCAAATTTTCTCATCGAGTCCAGTATTATCGATACTTTTTTCTTTTCATTTTTTATTTGTCTCATATAGGGAAAAATCAAATTATCAACATTATCAACATATTACATGATCAAAATTATCAACATAAATTATTTGATTTCTCAGAAATAGAATAATTCAATGCAAAAAATTCAAAATTCATAAAAAGCAAAATTTTTTACTTCAATATTCAAATGACTTATGTTATTTATTAATTTCTGAAAGAAACAAAGTAAATAAGTATTTTATTTTAGCTTATTTTTTTTATTTTCTTAAATATGCACAAATACAATAGACAATTTAAATGTGATAAAAAACCTAATCATATGATTTATAAATTTATGAATATATGAATAGATTGATTGGAACCTTCAGAAACGAAGGCATATTTAAATGGTATCAACCAACGCTAGTATCGTGCACATTTGAACTAGGTATTAGCTTTTAATTAAAACGTGAATTAATGAAATGACGAAAGTAACGCAGACTTCTTGAAAAATACACACAACTCCTCGCGCGATACTGCGAGGAGACATAACCGTATTCCTCTTGGAAATGGTAGTGTGAAAGGAAACAGCCACCTCGTCTGCTTAGATGGTGGTGGGTAGCCGTGGGTAGATGAGAAGAATCCGAAACGATCGGAAGACTGAGAGAGAGAAAGAACGAAAAGAAAGAGAAGAGGCGAGCAGCTAGGCGAGCATTAAATCGGAGAAAGATAGAGAGAAGATCGCGGCGGCAAAGGATGGTCGAAGTGGGAGGGATAGACGGGTGGAAAACGTTACGAGGGATCGGGAGAAAACGCAGCGGGTGTTGGCAGGCGGAGGGAGACGAGTACGATAGCGGCGCTGCGGCGTAACGACGCTATAACGCGAGCCGCCGGGTGATTACCTACCACCTCCGTACCCCGTTTACCCTCGTGCGTCGAGCGGTGCGCTTGTCGAGCCACGCCACGCCACACCACACTGCGCCGCGCCGCGCCACGCCACGCCGCGCCATGCCACTCGATACCACGCCGCGCGCCACGCCATCTCGCGATACGGCGTCACACCACGCTACCCCCTCCCCGCATCATACCACGCCATGCTATCGCGTTGACCGTACTGTGCCACTACCACCGCGTCGGTAGCTCTGGATGCTACGCCATCGACCCGACATTACGCCCTACGAATTCCTCCCTTCCTCCATCTTTCTTTGCCTCTTTCGCATCCTGTTCTTCTCAGCCAAGTCCGTGGTGCACCGATCGGCGGCCTCGTGTGCCAGTGTCATATGTGTTGATCGCGACAGCCGCGTGTTCGTGTCGTGGTAAGCTCGACTAGCGAGGAACGTCGACGCCGTAAACGCGACGCCCTCGTAACGATGCCACCGGAGAGGTAAGAGGAGGCGGGTTTCAGAGCGGAGTGGCCTCTAGGCACGTCCGTATATACCCCCGCATACCTGACTCTGTCTGCACATAGCAAGAACGTATACGTGCGTGTAGTCCTACTTCTTCGTTCGTGTTGGTCGCCTATCTAGTTGGTCAGCTCTGCTTCGCCGACTCGAATCGCTCGATTCTCGTTAGAGGTTTCTAATGTCTACCATCTCATGGCTGCCTCTAACTTTTTTTTATTCTTCTTTCCTTCGAAAAGGAAAAGGAAATTTTTATTTTATTCCGATTAAAAATGCATGTTAGATCTTTTTTTTCTTTTTTATTGTTTCTTTCATTGCTTTTGTTATTTTCATACTTTCTTTTTTTTTTTTTTGTTCTTTTTTTCTTGAATAAATAAAATTTAAACAAAAAAAAAGCATTGAAAAAAGAATGTTTTCGTTGATATTTTTAAAAACCAATATTATAAATTATTAATAACTATAATTATTAATTATTAATAACTTCAGTTTTTATTTTCGACTCGTAGTCGATATCTATGAGTTTAACAAGTAAAAAAATTTTTCGACTTTTACATTTTTCCACTTGTTATCTGTTCTCTTTTTCGGTGTTTTATTTTATCTTGATTCCATTACTTTATTCCACTTCCTTTCTCTCTTTTTATTCTTAAAACATATAAAAATTCCGAAGTCATGTTAATTTTGAAACATTTTGTTTACTTCTTCATTTCTCTCAATTGCATTGTCTATTTAATCGATCAGTTAATTAACACATTTATCATCACATCAGTTTTATATGTATATATATTTTGTTCTAAAAACAATAAAATAAAAATTTTATTATTATAAATGTATAATTATAAATTATAATTATAAAACATTGATTAGTATCATTAAATGAAAAAAGATCAAATTCTTATTTAATATTTTGTGTTCATTCGTGATCACTGTGAAATAATAATGTATTTGATTATTTTTAACGTATCATCACTAATATATTAATAAAAATATATGATACTTGCAATGCATCTAATGCAATATTGCGATAAAAGATTATTATTATTAATCTATTCAGCACTTTTTATATTACAATTCTTTCTAATTAGTTGTATGTTTTACATTTTTTAATCTAATTCTTTTTGATTATTTACATTATTTAATATTTCTTAATCGATATCATTTATTTTATTTTAGTTCGTCCTATAAATATAATAATATCGATCAATAATGACGATTATGGATTCATTAACAAGAAAAAATTCATTATATGTGACTATCATAATTGTCAATATATATTAATCGATGGTATTCGATAATAAAAGAATAATATAATGAAAAATAAATCAAAATAGATTATTTTGATAAACGAATCATAGTTCGCATATCTCCCATATCGAAACTCTATTACTCATTCCATGGAACTTTAAATATACTCCTTTGTATTGAAGATAAAAGTTGACGATTACACGTAACACGTGCCAATAATGATCACATGTATTCTTACTTTCCTCATTTTCTTCATCAACTTCATTGCTAGTCTGAAATATTTAAAATATACAGAAATATTTTTATTCTGGTTTTTTTTTATCTAATTAAGAGTACTATTAGTTTTATGTGAGAAAAAATGTTTAGTTAAGTCTTTTCAAACAGTAAAGTTCAAAAAATAAATTTTTCTTTTGTACAATATATTATCTCTTAATTTTTAAGTTGCAAACGATTATAAATAATAGAGAATTAAAAGAAAAAATTATAAATTATGATGATAAAAGCAAAAACATAATTTCTTTTCTTTGAAAAAATAAAATATTTTTCAATTTATAATTTTTATATCGTTTTTTAATTATTTTTATATTATAAAATATAACCAGAATAAATTATTCTATTTCAATTAATTTCTTCCATAAATAATCATTTATTTTGAACAATCTAGATTTAAAAAGAAAAGATCCAAATTTATGATTCTTTTTATTACATTCGAAATTTTTACGTTACGCTTTCTATTTTTACATTATTCTTAAAAATAGCTTTTAGATAAGTAACTGAAAGAATCTCTCTGTATCGAATAATTAATTTAATTTTCAATATTAAGTAAATTAAAAATAAAATAAAAAGGAATCAAAAGTCGAAGTTTGACAACTTTCTTCCATTGTCTCCATCTCTTCCATCTCTGTTTGGTCTTTGTCTTTCTTCTCACGAAGCCAAGCATAAATTCATACGTGGTGAGACTCGCGTGCAGGCATACCGTCGATCGTTTGGTGTGGATATGTATGCGCACTCGCGTAATAGCCTCGTTCCTGCCGCATTCGATGCTAGATACGTGAGACGTCGCGTAGATCCCTTCCAAGAGTTTGGGTCTCTGCGATAAACGATACTGTGCCACGCCACCCTAGGTCACGCTAGATGTAGTCTGGCGTGGCCTCGTGCCGTGAATCGACAGGGGAATGGTCAGAGAAGGTAGTCACCATGGCGTGGTATAGCAACGTGCCGTTGGCGACACGGCGCTAACTTAACGGAGATAGCTTCGTAATAGTGCCAGAACTTGATAAACCTTTGCAAAAAGAAAAAAATACGAAGAAGAAAACGGCTTGGTTCAATTTCAATTCGAACTATAGGATTCTACCGCTCGTTTTAATTAAGATATTATAAGTCGATGGTGACATGAAATATGTTTTTTAAAATATATACAAGTATATATATATATTATTATATACAAGTGTCTAATACATCTGTGAAGAATACGAAACTCGAGCCTGATTTCGATGATCTTGGCCGACAACGATTGTAGAGAATAGCAGCTAGCGAAAAACGAAGAGGGATTGAGAGCATTTGAAGAAATTTACGATGTATTGTTTCGATGTGATATCACCTGCTTCATGCTGAATGCAAGAAAATTCTTTCAATGTTGGGGATGACTTTTAAATATATATATATATATATCTGCAATAAGAAACCGACCATATAATTTATCGAATATGTTTTTACAACTGGAAATCGAAAAATTCATGGGAATTGAAAAAATTTCGAACATTCTCGTAAAAGCTAAAACATATTGAAATCTTAAGAGAGATGAAATGAACGTATATATATATTTTTTTTTAATAAGAAAGTATGAAATATTTAATTTGACGAAGTAAAAAAATCGAAACGCACCTCGTATAGATTTCTGACGAACGGTTTATCCGGTCAGATGGTTGGTTAGCTCGATAGGATGGGTGGGTGACTGGATAGGTGGGTGGTTGGATGGGTGGGAGGCATGGATGGTTGGATAGTTGGGTGGTTCGGTGGTTAAGCGGTCGAATGGCCGTGCGATTCAAGTAAAACAGAAACGCGGGGTGAGGAAAGTGAGAGGAAAAGGTAGGGAACTAAAACAGGAAGGAAAGGGAAATAGGAAAGAGAAAAGAAATAGGAGAGAGTGACGACGGTATTGGATGGTGCGTCGTTAACGATAACGACGGCCACCGATTGTCCCGACGACGCCGGTCTGCACTCCGACGTTTCCCGCACTACTGCCGCTTCCCCTCCGACCTCTGGCTTGACGACACTCGGCCTCGAGCCGCCTTATTGCCGCGATAAATATAGAGCCTACTCCTCGAAAGCGTCTACCCACTCTATTTGGACTTTCTTCTTCCTCGTTGAATCTCTCCTTCTACTCCACGTTTTCAATTTTCTTGCTTTATATATATATATTTTTTTTTTAATATCTGCAAAATGAAAAATAGATGAAAAAAATATATCATGTTAGGATATACGGAAAAAATAAATTAAAGAAATGATTCTAGAGATTGAAAAACAAACACGAAAAATATCGATTGAATTTATTTATGAAGTTATAAGCAATTTAATGTTACACTAAATGAAATGGAATGAAGATAGGTGCAACAGAGAATGCAAGTTAAAATTGTTAATTAATAAATAAAGCTTGATCACTTTTATATCAACTTTTGTGCTTGTTTCAATCTTTAGAATCGTGCCTTCTAAATTTTTTATCCATTATATATCCAAACAACAAGTATATAATATTATTTATCAAGAAATGTTCTTACTTTGCAAAAATTCAAATTTCGTTAAAAAATTTTTTTGTAATTATAAAAATTAATTTGTCGAACTTATCGATAAAATAATAAAAAAAAAAAAATAGAAAAAGATCTGACAAAACTGACCTAATCCAAATGATACAATAAGTATAATTCGTTAATTTGATCATTAGACTAATTAGCTGATTTTTTTTTTTTTTTTTTTTTTTTACGTTTCACGATGTTCAACCAGTTTCCACTTGCAAGTATAAGTGCGCCAAGTCTCTCTTTACCAGGCCCGACAGAGCGTCGTAATTTCAGCAAGAATAGAACGAGGTCGTGAACCAGACGTCCAACGAACAAACGTCAGACGAAAAGAGAAATGGTGAGGAGGTAGAAGAGAGAAAAGCAAAGATCGAGAGAACGAACAGAAACGGTCATATAGGTGGATGATGAGTTAGAGGAAGAGAAAGCAGGAGGAAGAGAGAACGGTCGGGAGAGGAACCTTGTTACAAAATCATTTCGTCGGCAGTACGATGGATCGATCGTAGCCATTTTGTATTCAGACATCGAAATACTGAGTTCAATGATTAATTATTGTATACCTTGCTCTTTTTTCCCTTTCTCTGCTGTCATTGGATGCAATGAATTTGATTTGAAATCCCTTTTCTACACTCCACATTAACCGATAACGTTCTTATAATCTTGATGTAAATTTTTAATAATGTAACAATTATTTCGATAAGAGTTTTTGAAAAATGCATAGAAAAAATTACAAAATTTTTAAAAATTTATATTAGAAAAATTTTGAAATATTTTTTGATCAATAATTTTTCAGTTTCTTTTTTTTTTTTTTTTTTACTTACTACCCGTTATAGTGTACATTATCGTATAGTGTATATTATATAGCGCGAATTTAAAGCGGAAAATACCTTAAAGATGGCAGTTCCATTCGAACAGAACAAGTTTCATTTAAATATAAAATTCGTGAAAAAACTTTTTTTTGATGAAATAAATGATTAAGCGTGAAAAAATGCAAATAAAAATAAGAATAAATAAGTAATGAAATAAATAATAAGATATAATAAATAAAGAAATATAATAAGAGAGATAAAAAATGCAACTTATTCACAAATTCTTCGAATTTTTAGAATAAATCAATACAATACTTTTATTTACAATCATCCATGACTAAAAAATAATTTCATATTTTTTTAATTTGTGGCTAAGATTTTTTTACCGCTTAAAATTTAATATAATTCTTGATCATTTATAGTATTATCTATTACTGTACATCTAAATGATTAACGATAAATCTCACTGGCTCACTGTATTTATACAGTTACAAATCTATATATAATTAAATATGATCTATATATAACAAAAGACTGGACATAACAAACATTGAAAATATTAAAGGAATCTTTTCGAAAGAATATTTTGATTATTAAAATATATAAAAATTATTTTTTATATCATATATATTATATATTATATTATGTATTTTTAGTTTAATAATTTAAAAAATTTCTAATTAACAAATATATATAATTATAAAAATATAATATTAATAATATAAATATAATATTTATGGCATTTACAACTTTTTTTTAAGTCTTAATTGTATCTATTATAAATCGTTCAAAAATAACATTATTAATCTTTCATGATTCTTCAAACAATATTATTTATAATAATATATCTGTCTAATTTTTGGATGAAATACTGAAAATATCTGCTTTGAAAAAATGAAATGGAATGAATAAAAAAAAATGTATGAAAGAGAGAGAGAGAGAGAAAGAGATAAAAATGATACAGAATTGACGAGCGAATCAATATTGATAATAAATTTTGTGACGACATATTGTATAATTATATGTATGATTATTCGAATAGAATAAAAGAAGAAAAATTCATCACAAATCATAGAAATACATAAAAATATGAGTTTTCAATTTTTCTAATAATATCATTCGTTAATATGTTCATGACTTACAAACATTTGTATATGTGGCTATAATACGTCCATCTATATTGGTAGCATCCCGAATTTAACATTGGCTTACTGCAAACCGATTACAAATTTTTCCACACGAAAATCCCGTCAGCAATTTCCTGGCGAATATCTCGCCAACGTAGATATCTGTTTCGTTTTTTTTTCTTGCCGATTTTTACTCTCTACCTGAGTTTTTGTTTTTACCTCGAATGCATGCATCGATCGTCTGCATACGCTTGCTGATTCTCATTCACCGTATCCGCATAATTGTTGTAATATAATCGATGATTATAAAGAATAGAACGTGAAAAGAAGAGAAATGAAGAGAGAGAAATAATAAATTGATTTAAAGGAAGAATTTTGGTAAAATCTGCAACACATTCGGAAGCGCAATAAAATATATTATTTGTATTTTAATTTTTATATAAATTTATAATTTTTATAAAACATATTATTTAAAAATCATTCTTTATAAAAATGATAAAAATGTATCGAATTGTGAACTTAATTATCAATCATCAAAAATATAAAGGATAATTAAGATATAGAAGAATCGGAATATAACCAAGAATGGAATAAAATGTGTAATGTAATTTTTAAATTTATAGTTTTCATTCAAACATACTTGAAAATTATTTCTTACAAAAATAATAAAGAAAAAATGTATAATAATATAAACCAGTTGCCATCATAGAAGATCACCATCGATGAAAATGGATAAAAAAAGATTGAATATGATAGCCGAACATAATTTTGTATGTAAGAAGTAGAAATGGACAATAAGATATAGCCAACAGTACATAGTACGACATCTATTATTCGTCACATTATGTGTACTTCATGTGACTCTATACCATGCTATAATATTATCCTTTTCGGATTAATTATCTTAATGTTTCGAAAGATCTAAGAAAAATTAATAATTTTGAATGAAAATTAATAAAAATTAATAATAAGAGAAGTTTTTATTTTTTATTAAAAATAAAAAATTTAATATTTCCTAAATTTATGTTATTTATGTGTATAGCAAATAATATAAAATCATTAATATTATTATCTATATTATATTTTGATTAACTACATGTTTAAACTATCGTATCATGCAATGTTTAATCAACGATTGTTATTAATTATATTTGATAAATGAAGATAAAAATAATATA